AAAAGTAAAAAAAAATTAATCACATAATTGAAATATAATCTTAACATTCATACGCTGTATACGTAACCACTATAAAATAATCATCAAATAAATGATTTTTAAGATAAAAAAAGATACCCTTAATTCCTTTCTCTAAAAAATAAAATATTCTTACTTCTATTTATATAAAAATGAATTTTCTAGTGAAATAATAAAACCAATTAAATACGTTAATTAATTAAAAATATAATATATAACATTTAAAGAATATCGAGATAATAAAATTTTAAAAACAATGATTTCAAAACAATAAAATCTCCTCGTATATAAAAAAAAAAGATCGTGAATTATGGATTGTAAAAAAAAAAAAAAATAACGATAGCATTGGGAACAAACCTGTACGGATAGCGGATACTGCTAATGGCTAAAGATAGCGGGAAGCTAGCTATGTAGGAACGTATACTATTAAGTAACATATTTAAATATTGGCGCAATAGTGGAATCTCTTACCATATAAATCAGTATCACGTCAATACTTAAATACCTGACGAATAACGTATGTTTCAATTCATTATATATAATATTTTTGGGATACACAGTAGTATTTCTATGGTTAATCGAGATCTTTTACTCCTGTGATATGTCACGTAACATGAAAAATATTATTCTCTGTATTTTCCTGAAAGTAATGCACTTCATGTTCATTGATTTCGTGATCCAATCATCGAACGAACGAATTAGATTGAGATTAAATTCCGAAAGATTTATTCAACAATTTTTAAATGTTATATTTATTCTTCTTTGCAACATGAAACAAGCAATAAACCGTGTGTATATATCTATAATACAAAGATCTGTATTAATATTTATACACAACTATACTACTGTGTATCTCTCTGCTAATAAATCAGTATATATTCGTTACAATCACAATACGCATGACATCCTATGCAAAAGTTCTGGTCAAAATGGAGTAGAGAACTTGTACTATGGTAAGACACGAATCGATGGCGCATAATAATAGGAGGGATAATTCTAGCTGCATAATCCCGAAGGATCGACCAGTCCACGTGCGATCAATTCGGCCGTTGCTGGATCACCTCCTTGTTTACCACTCGAATGCTGAGACGGCGTTTGCTGCGCATGAGGTTCGAAATGAGAACGAACGTGGAACATAAATTCAGCCTTGTCTGTGAAATCTGTACGGCACATAAGGCAAAAATGCCTCTCAGACGCGTACGGCTGCGGAGGAGCCGCGGATCCTGGAAAATATGGCGCTGCGTGTTGTGGTGGTGCTGATGCCTCTAAATGAGAACTGTAAGAAAAAAATATTTAATCATTTTCATCAACTTTTTCAACGAATATTTATAATTCGTTGATGTAAATATATATATATATAAATTACCGTGCATGCTGCATCCATTCCTCTCTCGTAGCTAATGCTCGACCGCACAATTCACACGCCCAACTAACTGGCTCCTCTTTCAATTTATGTATAGTATCTTGTCGAGATTGTTGTTGCTGCTGCGATTGTTGTGCTTGCTGCTGTTGAGCTTGCTGCTGCTGCTGTTGTTGCTGATCCGAATTAGGCGCTGAGGGCGTAGAAAGTGGCGCCACTCCCGGTCTGTGTCTCAACTTGTTCATGTGAATAACTAGTTTATCTCTACGAGCAAACGCTTTGCCTGGAAGCAAGAAACGGCCATTACCATTAGTTGAACGCAAGCAAATACATCATCGTACTAATGCGAAGCAACAGTTTAAGGCATACTTACCGCAAACTTCACAGGAATATGGCTTCTCTCCGGTATGAATACGCATGTGAATGACGAGTTTGTCCTTACGGGCAAGACCTTTGCCACAAACGGTGCATGCGAACGCCTTTGTCGCCGGTTCACCCGTATTGGTAGCCTTTGACGCAAATCCCGGACGAGAAGTTACATTGTTCGTAGTTCTCAACGGCTGATTTACCGTGGGAGCCCTGCTCCCAAACTGCTGATCCATTGCACCAGGAAACGGGGGCATCACGCCACCAGGGCGCATCGCTGCCGAGTAATCTGGGGACCTATTTTGAACGTGGGGACAACATATCGCGTTTTAATTTTCACCAATGTGGAAAATAATATATTAATTGTTCCTTATTTATATATTTATAATTTGAAAGTCTATTTACCATGTTCCAATGGAGCGAAGAACGCGTACACCATCGTCATAGCCTAGGCCATCGTCAGGTAAAGTAAAGGTCGGATTAGGTGTTTGAGGTGTCGCAGGTGGGCCGGGTCCAGCGAGTCTCGCTTGTGCAGCTTGTTGTGCCATGTGTTGTTGTACCGCGGCATGAGCCACTGCGTGCGCTTCCACATAAGCGGATCGTTGTTGCTGCTGACTACCATTAGACATCTTGTCCTTGTCCGTGCCCTGTTAATCGTTCGTCTTCTTACGTTACAAGTTCCACGTTAAGATACGAATAATAGCGTTGGATATCGGAACCGGTTGAAAAGGAGAACTGTTATATTTATTCATATAGAGATTTGTATTTGTAATTATTATAAAATATAAAGCTTGTACTTCTGGGAATTGTTGCTATCGCAATTTATCAATCGTAATTGTGCAATATGCGGATCACGCTTCCAAAGATATAAGAAGTTGTGCAAAAATACCAGATTACACGTATTAATTAACACGTTGCACATTTTAAAAAATTATTAAATACGAGATTACGTTGAAATAGTAAAAAAAAAAAAAAAGAAGAAAAAAAATGAGATTGTGGTTAATAAATTCGTTCGTTAAACGTTGAAAAATTAAGCAATCGTGCAAAGAAACGAGTTTAATGTTTGAAATAATGATTAGTTGTATTCGAAATTTATATATATTGCAAAATATGATCGTTGACTCAATACGTCGATGCGATTGCAAAATTGAAGAAATGTCTGTAGGAACAAAGCATTTTGCGACGTTTCTATCAATTCGAGCACAAAAGCGTAGCAACCCCGAACCCGATATGGGAAAACGATTAATCACGGAAACAGAGCTGAGCTGAGCTGAGCGTGCACGAAGGCGCACTCGGTGCCAAATATCTATTAACGATAATCGATATTTACCAGAAACTGAGTTTCAAACAATTCTTCGGCTAAATGGAACTTATTTGATCCCTTATGATCTAGCACAGAGAATAATTAACGCTTCGTTCGAAGCAAGCAGGAAAAATGAGAATTCTATGAAGACATTTTTTTTATGTTGAATTTCTCAAATTCGAAAGAATTAAAGTCACGTATTTTATGCTTATGAATCAGTAGATATTCAGAATAATTCATGTTATTCGAAATAAGATAAAATATTCTATAACACAGTAAATTGCATAAAAATATTTTTAAAACAGAATTTTTCTGAAATATTCGAATCTATAGTTAAAGAAATCAATAAAATGTTTCAAATTTTCCAAAAGTAAAATGCATAAAATTGTCGAAAGAAATTAAAATATTTCGTAAAAACGATTCTTTGAATTCTCACGCAACTAAGAATACTCCGAAATTTACTCATACATAACGCTAAAATATCAAAAATACCATCGATATCGAGGAACTCTCGAGCCATGATCAAAGGAAATGGATAAAAATAAAAATATCTATTACAAGCTGAAGAGAAAATTCTAAATTTCGTCCACGTGACGTTCGTTCGAGACACGAAGGTAATTCATCGAGCCACGAACATTAGAGAGGATCGTTGTATCGCTGTGAAGCATCACAGAAGCCTGTATCTCCCCCAGAGACGACATCGAATGCATAAAAGACAGGGACTTTCGAAGGAACCGAAAAGATCTGTTCGCGTAGCCTGCTCCGTCAAGGTCCTCTCCGTGAAAGAACGATGACCGAAACGAGAGAGACAGGGAACGAGAGAGTGAGGGTAGAACAAACCGGGAAGAGACGAGAGGAGAGAAAGAAAGAAATGAAGAGAGCGAGAGAAAAAGGGAGACGGAGAAAGAAATAAGCTTACAGAGAGGAGGCAGGGACGAAGGTTCCCACAAAAGACTAGCAAACGCTATCGGGCCGATCTCAGGGCTCACGTACCTACACACTTTGTTCCCTTGCAGAGGCCGTGGAAAACCGCCACGGATCGACTCACTGGGTCGAATGTCCTCGAGCAACGATATCACTGACAACGTCACAAGGCGAGCAACTCAACGGCACATCACCATCAGTGTCCATCACATGCGTAGCCGTGCCGCTCGTTCTACTTACTGGGAGTATCCGAACTGGGTGAAGAAGAAAAAAAAAAGAAGAAAAAAAAGGAAAAAAAAATAGAAAACGGCCACGAGGCTCGTCACGGGTATCGCGAGAGACGGTTTCGAGAGCGGAGCACACCAGGCCGGAGTGCGATAACAAATTTAAACGTAATAACGATGACGAGCACGACGACGAGAATACCGGCAACCACGCGCGTTCCTTCTTTTCGCGACGCCACGAAAGAATCTCGCGTTTTACGGGGCAACCGGAGTGTGTCCCGTGGAGCTAGCCGCCGATTCCCGGCGCGGGAGGATGCAAGGACAAAGAGACGAAAAAACGTCTGGTCGAAGCAGAGGGGGTAGCCCTCTAGCGAGAGAGAGGGAGATACGGCGAGGGAAGGAGAGCAGAGAGGGTAAGAAGAAGGAAAGAGAGCAGCGACCAGCCGGCCGAAGAAAGAACGAGCTGTGGTCGGAGGGAACGAGGGAAACGAAGACGGCCTGAGAGAGAAAAAAGAGAGAGGAGAGAAGAGAGAAAGAGAGAGAAAGAGAGAGAGAGAGAGACGAGATAGCCGGTGACACACGGATGCAGCGCGGCGTAACGATATCGAGTGGAGGTCCCCGCGGAATGCACCGTGGCGACGTACCGTGGAGAGAAAGACCACACAGAGTGTACCGATTGGACGGAAACGAGGCGAGGAGGAAGAGGCAGGGAAACAGAACGACGACACTCGGGTGTAGAGTCAAGTATGCGCGAACTTGGTGTAAACGGGCGAGACTAAACGCGTCCCGATGAGCAGGCGAAATTGGCGCGTCTAGGTGCGGGAACAAGCACTGAGCGATACTGAACCGGTAGAAGGGAAAGAAGAATAGGCACGGGAGAAGCGATATGCGGACGAGACGGCGCGGTGCAACGATATCGAGTGGAGATCCCCGCGGAATGCATCGTGGCCGGCGCGACGACGAGAACGCGAGAGGGAGAGAAACGGAGAGAAAAAGAAGGGAAGATTGGGAGAGTGAGCGAGAGAGAGAGAGAGAGGAAGGGAAGGAGAGAGAGTGAGAGAGAGAGAGAGAGAGAG